ACAAATATAACCAACACACTAGAGTATTATTACCATATCATGTCTCATTTTGTCTCCACTAGAACTCACAGATAGTTTTGGATCACTTTACGTATCAAAAATGTTTATGGCCATCATTGCTTCAAAATTGTTATTAATTGAGTGATCACTAGATTTTATTTTATATATTCGTAAAACATGCCTGTGTGTGTTTTAATATTTTGATAACTGTGTTTCAGTATGACAGGTTTTCCTTGTTTCCCTGTATTTTGTTTTATGCATTCAAAACCATTCTGAAGAAGGTGTTAGTGTGAAAATGGTCCATAGCTTCGAAAGTTTCAAGGAGCTCTGATCTAGATCATTAATTCTCTGTGGAATGGTATTAATGAAGTCTTTGTAGCTTGATACTATAAAAGGCTTTTCAAGAGAATGGGTTCTGCTATCTTGGTATCTCAAACAAGTTCCCTCCTTTTCCGCTCCTAACACATTTTGAATATTATATAGTCATATAGGAGTCCAGGTGTGGTACTGCAGGATGATGCGCTGGACTGCAAGGTCAGTTTGAATTACAAGATCGGTGGTTCAAATCCACTAGTCCATCCTCGTAAACCCTATGCAGGGTCACTATGGGTCAAAACTGACTCCGTGGCACTTACCAACAACAACAGGATACTCCATAGTCTTAGAGAATCAGTGATTCCATTCAGGAGCAAGAGTGTGTGTATGAAAGAGCGAGGGGAAAAGAGTACGATTTGTTCTATTGTATATGTGTGGGGACAGTTATAAGAGATGTATAGTTTTCTAGAATTTTATATGTCCATTTACAATCACTAAAAGTTTAAGTGACCTTTGAGAACTTTACTGAACATGAACACAGTGTTATTATTTTTTTATAATTCCTGATACAAGAATGAGGAAAGAATTTTTTCCCTCTCAAATTGTACTTCCTTATTTTCCTTATTTATTTTGGGTTGAACTCTTTAACATGTGATGAAAAGGAACAAAGCACATAAGGGAACGCTATTAATTTGGTTTTAATAATGTTCTTATTTTTATTTGGTTCTTTGAGATGCTTTTCTTTTTTTCAGAATCCTGATGTAATCCACCAGAAAGAAGCAACTTCCTCATCTACTTTTACAGGTATTCGACCTGTACGAGTTGTATCTTCAACTTCTGAGGAGGAAGAAGCATTTACTGAGAAATTTCTTAAAATTAATTGCAAATACATTACCAGTGGCAAGGTAATGAATGATTCTTTAGAGAAAATGTTTACTCGTGCTTTCCTTATTACCAAAATACAGCAGTTTGACATTTACATTTTACGTTATCAGTATCAGCAAATGTTTGACTGTTTAAAAAGGGTATTGATGATGTTATCAGTTTGGATTAGCATGGAGCTTACTCAGAATTTACAATCTGGTATGCTGTAAAATTTGTTGAAGGCAGTGGGATGGATAGACATAAAATTATAATAGCGCTCAGCTGATTTGTTGTTGGTAGAACATATCAAAAAGCATATATTAAAAGACTACTACTAGACACTCTTTCCAGTGCTAACTCTGAGAAGCTAATAAGATATAGAACAGTAACTAATATATTTTGAGTACCTATGCTATTTGGAAGTTATGAGAAGTTTTCCTTTGAGGTATTGAGTCCTGATCTTTCTTCATAGGAGAAAGAAAAAAAAATTCCCAAAAGGTTAATAGGCCCAAAATGTCTCTATCATGGCCAGAATGCAAACCCGGTTTGACTCCATCTATCATCTTCCACACTTTGTTGCTATTCTAAGCAAAATCTTTGAGTCTGAAACGAGCATAGTAAAGTAGCATACAGCTGGAAAATAAATTCCAAGTATTACTTAAAAAATGATGACTGTATAATATACAATATTGACTTCACATAGCTCATTAGTTATTAGCATTTTAATATAAGCTTTTCATAATTTAAATATTTACCTAAGTACTACATAAATATTGGTATGCTGTACTTTCATTTTTTTTTTTTCAATTCAAAATAGTTGCTAATGTTTCCTTTCATCATAAGATATTTGTTTAATAGTGTTTTAGTTTCTAAATATTTAGGGATTTTATTGTTATCTTTCTGTTGTTGGGTCAGAGAACATGTTTATTACTGTTTGAATGCTTCAAATTTTTTTGCTAAAAAATTTATTGAGATTTGTTTTATGATTCAGAATATATTCTACCTTAGTAAATGTTACATATACACTTGAGAAAAATGTGTATTCTGCTGCTGTTAGGTGGGGTATTCTATAAATGTCAATTAAGGTTAGTTGGGTAGTTGTTCTGTAGTTCCTCTCAATTTGTTTGATCAGTTTTTAATAGAAAGCTGTTAGGCTAACATTGTCATATGCATTTGTCTATTTCTGCTTTCCAGTCTATAAGTTTTTGCTTCATGTATTTAAAACTTCTTTTAGGCCCTGAAAGCATTTAGGATTACTATGTCTTCTTGATGAATTGATTTATCATTATGAAAAGTCGTCTTTGTTCCTGGTAATATTCTTTTACTTTGAAATCAGCTTTAACAGTTACAAGTATAGCTGTTAACATAGGGTCACTGTAAATCAGTGTTTCCTTCAACATATCTTACTGTCATTGACTTGAATTGGAATGTGCTCTAGTAATACAAAACTCAATGGCAATGGCTTTTCTTGGAGGGTGGGATTTCATATAGTTGTTTTTCTCTTTTTTTAAAATTAGTGTTCATGTATTTCTTTCCCATTCACTTTTAATGGAATGTATCTATATTTAAAGTGGATTTTTATAGGACATATATACTTAGATCTTGTCTCTTTTTAGATGTGCTTTTGCCTTTTATTATTGATATGGATTGGTAGGTGTAAATCTACCATCTTGCTATTTGTTTTCTATTTGTTCATCTTTTATTTGTTCTCTTTACTGTATTTATACTTTTTCTTGCATTGTGTATATTTTGTGGTTTCATTTTGTGTTCTTTGTTGACTTATTAGCATTAACACCTTGCTATTTTAATGATTGTTTTAGGATTTATAGTAAATAGCTTTAATATAGCACAGTCACCTTAAGTAGAATTAAAATACTTCACAAGCTAATCCTGGTGGCTTATAGTGGATTATGCATTGGGCTGCTAGCTGCAAGGTCATCAATTTCAACCCACCAGATGCACCGTGGAAAAAAGATGAGTCTTTATGTATCTGTAAAGATGTGCAGCATTGGAAATCCTATACAATGTCTCTAGGATTTGAGGCCAACCTAATGGTACCTAACAATAGCAATAAACCACTTCACAAATAATCTGATGACTATATGTTTTTTTATTTCCCCTTCCCAACTTTTATGCTATTGTTGTTACACTTTTTACTAATGCAAATGTTACTTTTTTTTTTCACTTTTAAAAAAAATGTGAGTAGGTAACAAAAATTTGCCATTTGCCCAATCTTTACATGTGACAATAATTGCAATCAGCAGGTCAGAATTGGAAGCTATTAATGCTGAATAGCAAATTGAAGTCTTTGATTAAAGTTTCTGAAAGCCATGTGATTTATGGAAATATTTTTAAATTTTTGGAACTGATTTTATTTAGAAGTAATTTTTCTCCTGGTCTTCACTTTTAGTTGATAAATAATGGCATCTGACAGACTATCTCAAAAATGCTGACTGTATGGAAACCTGGTTTATTAAGGCAAGTAGTAAAGTTTGAAGGATCCATAAAGGCATCTTTTACAGGATAGAACATAGGAGTGGATTTCTAGCAAGTAACATTGGAGATTGAGCTGTCTGGTATTAAGTTATAATGGGCTTCAAGCCCATTGTTAATATAAAAAATAGAAGGGCACCTTTGAGAGGCTTTTGAAATGACTTTCATAGTAACACTACTAAAATTGTAGCATTAGTTGTATAAAAAGCCAAATGAATTACCAGGGCCTTTTCAAACCCACTGCTGTTGAGTCATTTCTGACTCCTAAAAAATAGAATAGAACTGCTTCACAGATTATCTGAGGCTATAAATCTTTATGGAAGAAGACTACCTCATCTTTTCCCCTGGAAAGCCTTGTAGATTTGAATCTCTAACCTTTTGGTTAGCAGCCCAAAGTTTAACCACTGTGCCATTGTACATAACTAGTAATTGTTGTTGTTGTTACGTGCTGTTGAGTTGGTTCTGATTCATAGCGATCCTGCATAAGGTTTCTGAGGTGCAGGTGGTACGTTTGAACTGCCAACCTGTGGTTATCAGTCCAGTGCTTATCCTACAGAGCCACACCAGTTCTCAAATATATAGTAAGGAATCCTGGTGTCACGCTGTAGGATAATTACTCAACCACTAGGTCAGTTTGAAGGGCAAAAGTCAGTGGTTCAAACTTACCAGCCATTCTTCGGAAGCCATGTATAGTTCTTCAGAAGGCCTGTATAGTTCTTTAGAAACCCTCTGTGAGTTGGAACCGAGCTGTTAAGTTGACAGCTATACGTAGTGACCCTGTATAGAGTTTCTGAGGCTATATAAATCTCTCTGGAAGCAGGAATCCTCATCTTTCTCCCGAAGAGCAGCTGGTGAATTTAAACCACTGAGCCTAAGGTAAACAGCTCAACACATAATCCACTGCCACCACCATGGCTAAATGCTATGGTTGTTGTTGTTGATAAGTGCCTTTGAATTGATTCCACCTAATAGCAACCTTCTATAGGACTTTGAAGAGAAGTTGGTGGGTTTGAACCATTCGCATTGCAATTCAAACCGACCTTGAGGATCGATAATTATCCTACAGGAACACACCAGGTCTCCTCAGTGCTGTGCTTGTTGTTGTGTTTAGGTGTCGTGGAGTAGGCTCCAACTCACAGCAACCCTGTATAGGGTTTCCAAAGAGTGGCTGGTGAGCTTGAATCACCCACCTTGTGGTTCAAACCAACCTTGTGATTCAGTGCTTTATCCCACAGCACCACACAGCGCAATGATAGGAAACCAAAAATGACACATTCATTTGAGACAAATGCTTCTTGTTGTTGGTGGTGGTAAGTACCGTGGGGTGGGTTCTGACGCATAGTGAACCCTACACAGGGTTTCTGAGACTGTAAATCTTTATGGGAGCAGAACACCTCATCTTTCTCCCACAGAACCGCTGATAGTTTTGAACTGCTTACCTTGAGGTTGGCAGCCCGACTCGTAACCACTACGCTACCAGAGCTCCAGTGCTTTGGTGAACATTATAAAGTCGAGAATGACATTAACTTATTCCTGACTTATTGCTTGACTTTGGTTCTCAAATACTTTACATTTACAGAACGTAGGGGCAGGAAAGTATTTCAGTACTAAAAGTAGTGAAGATTAGAAACCATCAAGGTTTTCTATCTTGTATTTAGTCTACTCTCAATTATTTGTTTCTTAGATCATCCCTGGCAATGTTTCCTACAGCAAATATGCTAGCTGTCATTGACCTGAATTGGAATGTACTCTAGAAGTCCAAATTAATGTACATGTATATGAATCTAATTAAAATATTAGGAAGATGAATGTTGTTGTTAAGTACCATTGAGTCGGTTCCAACTCATAGTGAACCTGTATAGGGTTTCCGATGAGCAACTGGTGGGTTTGAACAGACGACCTTGTGGTTCAAACCAACCTTGAAGTCCAGTGCATTATCCTCTAGCACCACACTAGGATAAGGTTTATATAAAATTAATCCTTATTTATATGGTCCAAAAGACGTCCTATTCAAAATTTAAATTGATTTTCTTTCCTCTACCAAATGTGCAAGCACGTATACCATATGCACACACAGTCATTCTCTCCAATCTTGTATGCTGCGGTTTACTATATGATAAACATTTTTGTTATCTTGAACATCTATAATAATTCTTCTCACTTGTGAATGGATGACCATTTCGGGCATGGATTTTCTCTTTTGCTTTTCTACTTGATCATCATTTAAGGTTTTTTTGTTGTTGTTTTTTAAGAAGTTAAGCTTACTTGGCTTAATTTTTTAAGTTTAAGAATTATCAATCACACAGCTTTAGCCAACTCTTCTTTTTACAGTGGTTCAACTTATTGACAGCAATTACATTAGTTGACTATGCAACCCTACCTTTAATCAGTGTTTGTAACTCCATAAAGAATAATCCTCCCTTTTTTCCCCTCCTGACTCTGGTAAACACAAAGAAACTTTGTTCTCTATACATTTGTCTGTCCTTATCTTTTGATGTAAGTGAGGCCACACAATATTTGCCTCTTTTTTGACTGATATATTCTACTCAGCTTAATAGTGTCTTCAAGCTCCATTCATGTTATATGTTGTTGTTGTTGTTATGTGCCGTGGAGTCAGTTCCGACTCATAACGACCCTACACAGGGTTTCCGAGGCTGTAAATCTTTACGGGAGCAGACCGCCTCATCTTTCTTTCGCGGAACTGCTGGTAGTTTCGAACTGACCTTGCGGCTTGCAGCCCGGTTTGTAACCACTACACTACCAGAGCTCCTATGTTTTATGTATCAAGACTTAATTTGTCTTTCTGTCTGAATAGTATCCACTGTATGTGTATACACCATTTTGTGTATCTGTTTATCCTCTGATGGCCATGTAGGTTGGTGCTAACGTTTGGCTGTTGTAATAATACTGCACATATGTCTGTTTGCAACTCTGCTTCCAAGTCCTTGAAGCCCTGGTGGCATTCTACCAAAGTGTTGGTGGCTCAAAATCACCAATTATTCTATAGTAGAAAGATGTAGTATTATTCTGTAGCCTTGGAAACCCTGTAGGCAGTTATCTTCTGTGCTACAGCCTCACTGTTATTCAGAATTGACTTGATGACAGTGGGTTTATGGTAGTTCTGTTAGTTTTTTGAGGAACTGCCACATTATTCTCTACATTGGCTATACCTTTTTGCATACCCACCAGCAGTGGACAAGAGTTTGAATTTCCCACATCCTTACCAACATTTATTTTCTGTTTCTGTTTTATTCACTTGTAGCCATCCTGAGCCTGCTTATTATAACCGTAAACTTCATGGGATGATTTTCTTGGCTTAGAGGTTTAGGCTTAGGGTCTTGATTTCATGGGACATCTTGGTTAATGAGCATAATGGATTTAGTGCTTTTGCTGTATCCCTTAGTTTAGTGCATACTGAGTGCCGAGGGTCTTAAAAGCTTACAAGTGGCCATCCCCTGTACAGCTCTTAGTCTCTGTGTCTGGGACAACAATGGAAGAAGGAGTGTCAGAAATCAAAGGAAAAACTGAAATGTGTGGCTAATTGCTGCCATGAACAACTGCCTCTGTTGCCATGAGGCCAGAAGATGAATTGGAAGATGCCCAGTTATAATCAGTGAACATTTTGATCATGGATTTGATAAGATGGAGAGGGTAATACCCATGTCAGTTTATTTGTGAAGAGCAAATGGGCAGCAATGCATATAAAGCATGATGTATAAAGATTAGTAAATATCAGAGTGGGATTGGGTGTCTGTGGAGCTTAGTTTGCACATTTGTGAAATAAGAAGTTCAGACTTTTCAATTTGTTTCTCTTTGTGTGTGTATGTGTGAGGGGGGTTCAAAAAGTTTGGGAAAAATGGAATTAAAAGATAATGGAATTTTTTCATGAACTTTTTTTGAAGCTCCCTTTTATTTAAAATTGCATAACTTTTCATGGTGAAATTCGTAGTGATAACTGTGTGTACCTTAGAATTCATCCAGTCAGTTTTCCTAATTTTACAGATGAAGAAACTGAGGCAAGAAACTTTGCTTGCTCAAGGTCACATGATAGGGTAGTGGTAGAGTCCGCTGAAAATGGTGAGCTTTTTTTATTTTTTACATTTTAGGTCTTTTAAAGATAGGTTTTTCCTTTTGAGATATATTTCAGTTATCAACACATTATTTATCGAACCTTTACTATGTATATGATACTATATGTGTGCATGTAGTAAGGAACAACACAGAAAGCATTACATGAATTTATGTAAAAGCATGACTTCTGCCTAGCAGGACCTTATAATCCCTTCTTGTCTTACTCAAACTATCTTCTTGGCATAACTCAGTATTCTACCGAGGCTGCAAATTTGAATTCCAGACTTGATTGGTTTTAGGATGAATATGATATTTTTATTCTGCTTTAGTTAAAAAGAATTTATTGAAGAAATTTGGGTTTTTCTTAAAAACATTTTCAGAGAGTGCCATAGTACCTGAATGTACTACTTTTATATATATAGTAAATGGCCTGACATCAGAGAAGAAGTTAGTGAAAGTAGCTAGAATACATTTTGAAAACTTAAACTTTGAAGATTAAATATTATTTTCTTTTTTCATCTTAGGGCACAGTCAGTGGTGTGCTGCTAGTTACACCAAATAATATAATGTTTGATCCACATAAAACTGACCCTTTGGTTCAAGAAAATGGCTGTGAGGAGTATGGCATCATGTGTCCAATGGAAGAGGTGATGTCAGCTGCAATGTACAAAGAAATTTTGGATAGCAAAATAAAGGACTCCTTACCCATGTAAGAGTGGTATTTATACTCCTTTGCAGTTTTATTGCATTTAGGTAACTGACCCTGGTCTAATACTCTTAAGTAGTTTTTATTAGTTCAGCTATAGCTGTTTTTCATTTTATTAATTCTGAAACATATGTAGTATTGAAAAGGTTATTCTAAATGTACCTAGAATAGTTAAGAATTGTTTTAAATTCATATTTGTATATTTGTTCAGACAAAAAAATATTTGAAAGGGAACCTATAGAATACATTTACTTCAGTGTTTGCTGTCCCTTTTTATGACACACAACCCCCAAATTCTCAATTACCTCTGTGAGTGGTCACTGTCAAGGGTAGTTTCCAGCTTTTCCTTCAGGAAGTACCTGAAGAGTTGGCTATGAGATTAGAGGCAAGGCTCATGAACAGAACCTGACATTGCTTTATCAAGACAGCTTTCTTTTATATATTTCCATATTTACATAATTTTCTCACAAAGAAGTAAAAGCTATAGTGGAAAATAACAGAAGTTAAATGAATGGCAAGAATCACTCTTGAAATATACTGATCAGAAAATATGTGTGATGCTAATAGAGGAGATCTAAGACTGCATATCAGACACAGCCATGAAAGCAATATGAACGACCAAAGTCATTGCCAGAGAGAAAAGGGAGTAATGAGAAACGTAGAAAAAGATGAAAGATATATATATATGTTTATGTTAATGTGGCTCTGTAGGTAAGATAAGCACAAGGTCAACAGTTCAAGCCCATCAACTACTCCTTGGAGACTCTATACAGGGTCACCATGAGTCAGATCTGACTCTACAGCATTTAACAACAATAACAACATATATGTAGTTAAAGGTAGGATGAGAAGTAGAAAGGAAGAAAACTGATATTTAATAGAAATTAATCCCCTCCTAGGAATCCTGGTGTGACGCTGTGGGTTAATGCTTCAGACTGCAAAGTCGTTTGAACTGCAAGGTCAGTGGTTCAAGCTCACCAGCTGTGCCTTGGAAACCCTATACAGGGTCACTATGGGTTGGAATTGACTCGATGGCACTTTATAACAACAACAACATCCCTCTATTACATGCATGACTTTGTCAACAGTTTAGAAACTGACTTTAATTGCCAATGATACATGCTTTTGTTAGCCCATCAGGATTACTTTTTATTTTTAAACTAAATTTTGAGAGCTAGAAAAACTTACACAAGAAAATAGCAAATTATTTCTTATGTCTAGTGCAGACTACATGAGTTGTTAGGATACCTGTGGTAGCCTAAAATCCTCTATTCAAAAAGTCTCCATTATACCTTACATCCAAAATTTTGAGTATGTTATGTTGGTAAACATCTTTGTTGTTATGTGCTGTCAAGTCAGTTGTGACCCATAGTGACCCTATATAGGGTTTCCAAGGCACAAGCTGCTGAGCTTTCAAACCTTTCGGTTCAAACCAACTTTGCAGTTACCACATTAACCCACAGCGCCACACCAGGAGTCTAAACATCTTTAGAGGTGCTTAAAATTTCTAGGAAATGTCATTAATCTTGACTATTACCTATTTTTGTATATCATTATAAATTAGCTACAGCAAATTGAGATTATTGGGAGTAGGTGTAGGAATGAAGATTAGATTAAAAGAGAAGATATAATATATGTAAGAGTAAGTAAAAATGTATTTCTGTTAGTATTCCAGTTCATACTTGTATGGATTTGTTTAACAACAACAAAGTGTTTAAACATGTCTCTGAGATAATTGAATGACTGCAGACAAGCTCCCTTAGTAGTATATTTGTCGTAGTCTCGACAGGGTGACTTCACTGTTATTGTTAAGTGCTGTCGAGTCAATTCTGACCCATAGTGACCCTTTATAGGGTTTCTGAGGAGCAGTTGGTGATCTCGAACCACTGACCTTGCGGTTCAGACTGACTTTGCAGTCCAGTGCATTAACCCCCAGCGCCACACCAAGACTCCAGTGGGTAACTTCACTAACAGGGTCTAATTGAAGCAGTGGCTTCCAAGGGCATCTGCTAGGTCAGTTAAATTCAAGGCACAGAGGCTAGCTGTAGGTATGGCAATTGTTTTTATTTATTTTCATTTCAAAGGGGTCATCTTGATAAAGTTTCTCGAAGGACACAGGATGATCACAGGGGCTTTTAGAAATAAGTTTTAAGACAATGAAAAACTTCATTAGTGAGAAAAAGGCCAGAAAGGTTTCATCAAGGAAATTTTTTCTTCTCAACAATGCATCTGCTCATTCTTCAGGGTTAGCAAGGACTGTCCTAGGAGAATTTTGTTGGGAATCATTATCCCACTCACCCTACAGCTCTTATCTTGTTCTTTCAGACTGCTTTTTTATTCCCCAAACTCAAATAACATTTAAAATGAACTTTAAAAAGTCCCTCGAGAGTGCCATTTTGACATGGTATAAATCAGAGAGCTCAGAATGTGTTGGAGAAGGTTTGTTGTTGTTAGGTGCCGTCGAGTTGGTACCAACTCATAGCTACCTTATACACAAAAGAACAAAACACTGCCCCAGTCCTGTGCCAATCTTAACAGTTGTTGCTACACTTGAGCCCATTGCTGCTGCCACTGTGCCAATCCATCTTGTTGGGGGATCTTCTTTTTTGCCGACCCTCCACTTTACTAAGCATGATGTCCTTCTCCAGGGACTGGTCCTTCCCGGTAATATGTCTGAAATATGAGAGAACGAAGTCTGGCCATCCTGGCCTCTGAGGATCATTCTGGCTGTACTTCTTCCAGAACAAATGTGCTTGATCTTCTGGCAGTCCCTGGTACTTTTAATATTCCCCTCCAACACCATTAACTCAGATTCATCAATTCTTCTATGGTCTTCCTTATTCACGCCCAACTTTTAAATACTTCTGAGACTATTGAAAGTATAGATTAGAATAGGTGTACACTTGAGCACTTTAAAAAGGATTGAAGCACTATCTTTCGGACCTAGTTAAAGGATGTATTGAGACACAGTGACTTCACATTTTGATTTTTTTGTTTAATAACTGTTGTCATGATTTTGTAGCAATACTTTCTGACTTTCATATAATATTAAATTATCTCATTTACATTATGATATTATGGGACGCTCCTATTCTGAAACATCCATAGCTATTCTGAATGTATACTGTAGAACTCCTCTTGTAAAGTAATTGCCTTATCATTCAGAAAGTCTACTGGAATACCAACAAATAACTCGTTAAAATTCCTCAAAAAAAAAAATCTTTAAATCCTGCTTTATGTATTCATAGTTTTTGGCACTAACTCCAATAAATCAAATGATTTTGCAGAGTAATGTGGTGTATGACAAAAATAAGGTATGGACTTTGAATGATTTTTTTCTCTCATACTGCTTGGGAGATTTGTTCCAAAGATACTGAACAGTAGCAGCAGCATTGGGATAAATTAGTGTTTAGCCTTTCACTCTGAAGGGTGAAATACTTATCTAAATAATTATCTTCCTTTTAGTTTTGTTAACTTGTTTTTGTTTTTGTTGTTTTTACTTGCCATTGAGTGGGTTCTGATTCAGTGACCATGTATAGGGTTTCTGAAGAGTGGCTGATGAACTTGAACCGTTGACCTTGCAGTTCAAACTGACCTTTTGTAGTCCAGTGCATTAACCCACAGCAGGAGGCTCTTACAAAGAAACTCTGCTGACTACAGTTTCTCAAAACTTTCCCCAAGTTTTGTTCTTGTTGTTGTTAAGTGCCATCAAGTTGGTTCCAAACCATAGCGACCCTGTTGTACAGGGTTTCCAAGGCTGTAAATCTTAACGGGTGCAGAAAGCCTCATCTTTCTTCCGTGGAGCAGCTAGTAGTTTCAAACTGATGATCTTAAGGTTCTCAGCCAGATTTGTAACCACTATGCTACCAGAGCTCCCAAGTTTTAAGATCCTATAAATGCAGGTTTAGGGAATCACCAGTAGGTGACACTATTGCATACTTAATAACATGAATAATTTGTGTTTCTTAAGATGAATCAGATTCAAATGTTCTAGAGATAAGACTTCAACTTCAGTTAATTCTTTTTAATTAATTTCATTTTTCCTATTTATAAAAAGTATTAACAAAAAAACGCATATGCGTTTAATAGGAAATTTGAAAATTTTCAAAAGTAGAACGAGAGTAAAAGAGTTAACCCAGATTCAGGCAATTATTTTTGGATTCCCTCACTTTGCAGTGGTTTTTTTTCATACTACAGAGACATGCATTTTATTGATTCCTCCACCCCCCCACCCCCAGCCCCCACTAAAAACTCAGAACTTCAGTTTACCACAAACTGTTTTTGACCATCATTTTAAATTGACTTTTGTATATTTCTTGGTATAGATGTTTTCATTGCCTTTTTAAAGAGCTTGAACTGTCTAACTTTCAAATATTAGTGCTTTAATGTAAAGTGCCATTTGGCATGGATATCTAAGCCCAGTTATGAACCATTCAGCGTAAACTCTTTAGCTGAAAAAAGTTAATAGTCTGAACATTTCCTGTACTAAATATTTTACTTTAATTCCATTCACTTTGGATTTAATTCTTGCATTTGACCAATATGTTTTAATTTATTTTGAGTGCAAGTAAGCACTGTATGTGTGTTCATATATGGGCACACATGTGCAACTAGCCTTTTTTTTTTTTACATTTTTAGGAAATTCAGCATTTTCATAAAACTTTTGTCTAAGTTTATTTTTCAGTAATTTCATTAGTAAGTTTTACTTAGATTTTAGCTTCTCTCAGAATTTATTTCACAAAATTCTCTGTTAGTTACTTACAAGGAAATCTTCCATGATTATTCCGCAATCTCATGCAATTGATGCAGACTACTTGGCCAGAGTTCTGCTATTTAAGAGATGTGTGCTACATTCTTTTAGGAAAGCCTTTTTTGTGATTTTAAGTTTATGAAAAATAGAATACTATGATTTAAAAAGTTAATAAATTTCATTTTATTATTATTTTTTTTTACTGACAGAGAGCTAGAACAGTCATCAGCAAGGGATTTCTGCCATTTAAGGAAAATGACAAGAAGCAATATTGATGAAATAGACTCAAGAGTCCGTGATGCAGGAAATGATAGTGCCAGTACTGCCCCCAGAAGCACTGAGGAGTCTTTTTCTGAAGATGTGTTCACAGAATCAGAACTCTCTCCTATACGAGAGGAGCTTCTCTCTTCAGATGAGCCACCACAAAATAAATCTTCTGGTACATTATCAGAATCTATGCAAACTGTCAGTCAGACTGGAATTGAATGTGTGACAGTCATATCGGAGTCTACTAGTATTCCTGGTCACCTAAAATCTAACATTGGATATTCTACAAATGAAGTTGGTACAGTTTCTCATAAAACTGATTTAAATAATGTTGAAATAGCCATGAAGGAAGGAGATCAGGATACAGATATATTTCAAGAAGTATCAGGTCCTGAAGAACAAAGAAGTATAAAAGATAATGGAGAACAGAGTTTTCTTCTTACTGAGAATTCACTACATCAAGGAGAAGGTGAAAAAGAAAGTATGCCTTGTGGGGAAGTAACAGAATTTAAACAAAAGCAAACTGTCAACAAAGGAAAATCAGTAAAGGAGCCAAGTCGGGACTCAGAGACAGAGGTAGAAGAGCTACGCAAACTCTGGAAAATCCATACTATGCAACAAACAAAGCAACAGAGGGAAAATATGCAACAGGTGTCACAAAAAGAAACTAAGCATAAAATAGCAGCTGCTGATGAATATGTAGAAGGTAAGTGTTAGGGGGCATATAAAGTTAGCTTATCTTGTTATTGCTTTAATATCTCATTTCTCATTGACTCCAGAGCTGCTGTATGGTAAGTCACTTGGTAATCAAGTGGTCCTTGAGTCATGTTGCCATAGTGTTGTGTTGTTGTTAAGTGCTGCCTAGTCGGTTCCTACTCTTAGCGACCCTATATAAGGTTTCCAAGGAGTGGCTGATGAGTTTGAACTTCTTACCCTATGGTGCAAATTAACTTGTGGTCCAGTGTTTATCCTATAGCGTGCCGCACCAGGATTCTCTGTGTTGCCATAGTTGTTGTTAAAGTGCCATCCAATAGGTTCCAACTCATAGCGGCCCTGTATAGGGTTTCTGAGCAGTGGCTGGTGGGTTTGAACCACCACTTTGCAGTTCAGATGGACTTTGCAGTGCTTATCCTACAGCGCATATGTTTAGTATCCTTTTCACCATGTTTAAATATTTCCTACGCACTGCATTGTATCATTAAATTATGTTTTAGAAGTGTGTACAAGTTTAGTTAAAACCAAGTTCACTGCTATCAAGTTGATTCTAACTCATAGTGACTCCTTAGGATTTCCGGTACTGTGAACCTTATACAGGAGCAGATAGTCTCGTCTTTCTTCCATGGAGAGTGTGGTATGTTTGAACTACTGACCTTTAGGTTAGCAGCTCAAGGCTTAGCCCACTGTGCCACCAATACAGGCACCTATACAGGTTTGATAATACCTTTTTCCCTCCACTCTCTTTTAGTTCTTGGTATGTTACCTCATGAAGTATTTTTTTCATTTATATGCATCTTAATATCTTAATTATGATTTTCTATTGCGAAACATGTATTTGTAATATATTTGAATCCAAGTTTTTCAGATTGTAATTATACACAAAAATCAACACCTAAAAGTTGCAAATACCCAAAAAACCTTTCAATGAAACATTTTCTTTTAGCACAGCATTTAGAAAGAAATAAAAATACCCTTTTTTCCCCATTTTTTTATTTATTAAAATTACAATACTCATCAGATTTCTAATATAATGTTTTGCTTAATACATTATGAGTTAAGTGGGGTGTAACTTGGCTAAAATTTCAGATGTTATTTCTGCTGGAATATTGATTCCAGATAAATCCAATTTACTTTACTGTGGAAAAATTTTAAAAATACAAAGAAGAAGAAAGAATATGGGGAATTCCTATTATTTTAAAATTAGCATTTAAAATCAGTGTTCTCTTGATATTTTTATTTTTTTAATCCCACTTTAATTTTTTTCATTATTGGAAAATTTTAAGTATAATCCAAGAAATATATTACTGTACCAGAGACTTTGTAGATAATAATTTGCCATCATAAAGCTCTGGTAGTGTAGTGGTTACGAATCAGGCTGCAAACCTTAAGGTCAGCAGTTTAAAACTACCAGCTGTTCCACAGGAGAAAGATGAGGCTTTCTGCTCCCATAAAAATGTTATAGCCTCAGAAACCCTGTTACAGGGTCACTATTAGTGGGAACCGACTCCACGGCACATCACCACCTAAATATAATGTTGTTATATCTAAAATAGTGATTCTCAAATTTTTTAGACTCTTAAAAATGATCAAGGATCCCATAGAGCTTTTGTTTATGAGATTGTCTATTAGTGTTTTCCTTTTTTAGAAATAAAAAGCTAAATTTCATTTGCTGTCAGAGAAATGACATCTCATTACACATCATGTAATCTCTGTGAACTTCCACTGTAACCTAATGAAACAGTCAGAAAGAAAAACATACTGTTTAGACAAGTCACCTTAGATATTATGGATTTATACCTGATTTAATAAAAATCTGTGCTAAAGCAAGTAAAGTTTATCAATAACTAGCTTTCAAAAATTTGACTCAATCACTATTTGGATAGGGTGACAAATTACTGACAAAATACTAGATTTTGATTTAGTAAAAAGCTCTTAATTATCCTTTCAAGTTTTAGCTCACTTCTATCTCTTCTCTGAAACTTCCTTAAAGATAAACAATATTTTCTCAGTATTTTCATTGTGTGTATTGTGTATATTTTAGATTTTTGTTTCCTTTCTAGACTGTAAGTTTTTAGTCTTGAGAACCAAATCGTCTTGCTTATAAGCTGAGAACTCTCAACTCTTTTGCTGATTTCATAGTTTCTACTGGGGAGGATCTTCTTTTTATTCTCTAAATAATGTGCACAAGGATTTTGAAGTTTCCTTTTGATTCTCTTTTCCTTCTATTGCAGTCTGTTCCAGCTACCTTTGATCACCTTTGCTTTTTCTTGAATAAGCTCAAAATTTGCTTCTTTATCATGACATTTTTTTTTTTTCCTCAGTCAAATACTGGACTAACTATTACTTTGTTTTCGTGTCTATCTTAAATCTTAACTTTCCTCAATGAGTCCTAGTCAGAAGCCCCTAATTTAATAGTGCAAATTGTACTCCCTTACACTTCACTATCGTAGGCATTAGTGAGCTGAAATGGACTGGTAATGGCCATTTTGAATCTGACAACCACATGGTTTACTATTCAGGGAATGACAAGTTGAAGAGGAATGGT